CCTGCAGCCAGCGGTCATCACCTGTGCTGTGGCCGTGGTTGTGGTTAGGCTCTGAAAACCCTCGGACAGCACCTGCTCCAGGGTACAGAGGACTGACCCCAGGAGGAGCCTGGGAGAAGAGGGGAGCAAGCTGACACCAGTGAGAGCTGCACTCTGTGGACCACAGTCCCCACATTCAGCCCTTCGCACTGCCTGTCTTGTGCGTGCTGGGTGCTGCCCTGGCCTGGGCTGCCCCAGGGAGTCATCCAGGCCCCGCCCCTCCTGTCCTGCAGGCTGTGCTCTTCTAGCTTAGCTATCAGCCCTGTCTGCAGGGGACTCTCCTGGGACCTCCAGGCTCTCCATTCACTTGTGAAAACCACGCCTGCAGCTTCATTCAGAGCTCTACCCAAAGCCAGGGAAACCAGGCATGTGAGAGGCCCCTGCCCAGGGGGAGGAGCCGGGCTGAGGCTGTGCCCAGAGCCCAAACACAGGAGCTAAGGGCGCTCATTTACAGTTCCAGGTCGTTTCCTTCTCCTTGTGTTGAGCCTAGATTGAAAAAAAGAAAAAACAACTCACATTTGAAGGCGTGATTGAAGGTTTTCTAACTTGTGCAGATATATAAGTAAAAATGATCTATAATTAGCTCATTAACCCAGAAATTAAGTGTGCTTTAAAATGGATTGTCCGCCCCTCAGAGTAGTGGGTGCTGGTGCTGTCATTTGCTTAAGCAGCTTGCTATCCTCATCTGGATCAGCATTTACCTCTTTACCATGTATGCGATGTAGCAGGCTGATCCAGTTGCTCACTGTAATTGCATCAAAGTATGGTATAATATCTGCAACTAAAGTAGTTGATGCCAGATATTTTTACCAAAGCACTGCTTTCTGGCAAAAGTGCAGACAGCAAACGTGGAGCTGGAGCGAGGGGCCTCTGGTTTCTTAGACACCATGAAACTTTTGAAGGAAGAGTTGGGCGGGGGGATACATGAACGGTTGACAACAGTTTCCGGTGCTTTCTGTCCTGTTTTATTCTGTAATGGAAAAGACTGGGAACCAGAGTCACATGCAGTTCATAAAAATCACCTTTCTCCTATCATTTGGAATTCACAAGATTCATGGGCAGAGTATTACAGGTAAACTCAGGCCAGTGGATCGTATGGGGAGTGGGCCCGAGGGCTGAGATTGCAGTGCATGGTAAGATGGGAGGGGCTGGCACTTTGTAGCACGTCCGGTGCTCAGTGGGTTCAAATGCTGAGCACCTGTGCCTAATTGGAGAAGCAGGTGCCCACGTTCCTCCTGGTCTTTTTCTTCCTGTGCGCATTGCGTTGTTGAATGCAATCTGACCTTGCACCAGAAGGAACCTCTGGACCCGAAACCTCAGGGAAGAGCCCCTCGAGCCCCTGCTGCTGGCCATCTGCCCAGCTCACTCTGGGAGAGGCCACACTGCAGGCTGGGCCTCCTGGATCCCCGCCACCTCCTGCTGGCTCTGAGTGGCCTCTGAGGGGCCCATGACAGTGGCACTTAGTGCTGTGCCATCTGACATCACAGTGCCTTTGGTTTGGAGGCTGAGCTGAAACTGAGCTCTGAAGTTACGGCTGCGTTGTCTGCCGACGGGAGACTTGGGCATGGTTGTCCTCAGACGGCTCAGCTGTGAGAGTCCCTGGAGGTTGCCGTAATGTGAGACACAAACTGACTTCTACTCCTTTTTGTTGTCGAGTAGAAATCATTAAAAGTTCCTGATGTGATTCTCTGGAAGGGCTCTGGAGGACTGCAGGCATGGCATCCCAGTGCTGAGGCCTGCTCTGGGGAGGGGCGGCAGGCACTGGGGGCCAGGCGTGGCCGACCTGCTCGAGTATTGGACCAGTTGCCCTGTGTGTCAGTGGGGTCCGGTCCATGGGCTCAGCCATGTGCAGACACAAAGTGCTCAGAAAAGAGTTGTCTGTCCTGAGCACGCCCTGGCTTGCTCTCTGATGGAGTGTGGAGCCGTCCACACAGCATTGTGTGGGGCATCACAGTGCTGTGGAGACAGACGTCTGCTGTGTGAGAGGCTGCAGGAAGGCCGTCTGAAGCCCTGGGCCGTTTCCTACCTGGCCTTGGTGTGGGCAGGGCCCAGACCATTGCACAAGGGATGGTTGGACGTTGTATGACCTTGTTTGCAGTTTCCTAACTAAGGTGGCAGAGACTGTTGGTGACTGGTAAAGTAATTCCAAATATTCCATGCTGTTTGTCTTTTTTGTAAAAGGGTACTTTGTTTCTGCTAACTCCACTTAGGTCATTTTTAGGAATGTCGCTCAGCCTGCAAAGGTGGGGAGTGAGCCAGCCCAGGAGAGCCAGGGCTGATCTCTCACTGTGAGCAGGCACTGTCCAGGGTGCTGTCCTTCTGCCGGAGCCCTGAGTCCTTTCCTGCAGGGCTGCGGGTTGCTGGAGGGCCGGGGAGGAGGGGCCTGTGCCCCCCAGCGCGTTTTCTTGGATTGCTCCCATGCCACAATCTCTTCTTGGCCTGTGGTTGGCCTCGTGGCCTGGCCTTCGAGGGTCCACAGAGTTGGAGCAAGAGGCAGTGCGGGCCCTTCAGGTCTGCCCAGGTTCAACAGTGCTGGTGGTTAGACCGTCCTGGCCACACTGTCCACAGGGCTCATCAGTCGCAGTCCTTGGTGGCTTCCGGAGTTGTGTGGTGCCTGGGTGGCCCTGATGGCCCAAGGCAGGCCCAGGGAGTTTGGCCAGAGCCCTCTTACCCAGTGCCTCCCCCCGGCAGCACCGCTGGGCAGTCCAGGCCCAGACCCCGACCTGCTGTGAGAACGCACTCTTGCCCTTGTTACCCGTGCTTTGTTACAGCAGTTGCTGACATTTAGATCCTGTTCATCATCAGCTTCAGACAGGAATGGCAAGGGGTGCTGCTAGGTGCTGCTAGGGTGCACTGCTGAAGCCCGAAGGCCCTGGTGCCACAGACACATGGGTGGGCTGTAGTTTTACCATTAGAGGAGCCCGTTGGCCTTGCAGAAGTGAGCAGGCACCTGATAGGCACTGGGCCGGCAGTGTCTGTGTGGAGTGCAGGATGTGTCACCCTGCAGGCTCCCCGGGGTCCTGATGCAGGGAGTGCACTGCAGGGGCCTGGGCAGATGCAGGAGACACTGCTTCCATTGTTAGCATCTCAGAACCTCCCTGAAGTGGAGGCTGACAGTGCACTGTCCTTTGCAAGTGAGACTGGAATGATGCTTTGGCCCATTGCAGTGCTCTGCGTGTAGATGTTTCAATGCTCTAAATATGTTGGGCGTGATTGAATTTTTTAGCATACCAGCTTCACTGTCCTTCCACGACTTGGGTAGTTGTGTCTTCATTAGCACGCCTCTAGATTCCGGTGTCCTGCTGTCCTCAGTGCAGCTCTGTGGACTCGGGAGCAGTGGGGCTGACTGTGTAGTAGCTGATGCTCACGCATGGCTTCTTGGAGTGCTCTGCCGGGACAGTGACTCAGGGACGTGCAGCACCCGCCCCCCCCAGCAACAGCTTCGTCGTGGAGAAGGCTGATGGCTGATGCTCTCAGTCCCGCTGACACGGGAAGTCACGCCTCGGACCGCAGCCTGGCCAGTGGGCTGAGGGGAGGACAGGTGAGCGCCTGTGGAGTGCTTGGTGCTTGGTAATTGTTGGAGAGATGGAAGCTGTATCTCTGAAATCTGCAGTGTAATGTGTTTTGGAAAAATTTCTTCATTTTAACGTTGCATGAGTCATTACCTTCTTGGATCCACTAAAAACGACTTGTGGCTGTCTGCATTGGGCATGTTTGGGGTGAGCTTCTTTTAAAAATTAAGCTTTATAAAGTTAGTTCCCGGTGATGGTGACACTGCGGTGTAGAGCGAGGGTGTTGGCTGCGTGGCTTCCGCTGGCAGAGGCTGCGGTGTGCCAGCAGCTGGACCGCTCCAGACAGAGCTGTGCTCACGGTGCTCTGCTCGACGGGTGTCTTGGGTGGGGGTGAGACTTCAGGTGAGAGGTCGCTGATGTTAACCATAGGAGCCAGCTGAAAAATAGCACAGGGTTGTGCCTCTCACTTTCTGGACTTGACTTTGTACCTTATTAGAAAGTGTCCCTCCTTTAAACAAACTGCCCTTCTAGCCATAGTGCAGGGCATGTTTTTCTTTTGTCTTGCTGTTTGCTTTATGAACCTTGGTGGAAGCAGTGGATATGTTTCCTGTCATTCCTAGCATGGGATGCTTTGCTCCCGTCTGTCCTTAGTCACTTGCAGGAAAGAGGATGACCTCCTGCTGTACCGCAACCGCAGTACAGGCCCCGTCTGAAGCTCACTCCCAGGCCAGCGTCTCTGGCCGCAGGCGGCCCTGTGCAGTCCAGGGGCAGGAGGGCAACGTCCCTGACCCAGCACCGCAGCTCTGAGGAGGGCGGGCGGGCGAGTGTGCCGTTGTGCGTCCTGCTGTTTGTGCCTGGGCCCGGCCTGCTCTGTGCCGAGCCTCAGCCGGGAGCCGGGGTGGCCTGGGGGCTCCGTCCCTGAGGTGGGGGACGAGCTGGACGTGGAGTCCGCAGCTCGTGCGAGGGAGCCTTGGCGGACCGCATTGCCGAAATGGGTCTTGGCGAGGTCCCGGGGACGCAGGTCTGTGTGACTCTGGACCCCGTGCTCCTTGACATGAGTCATGAGTTCCCTGGTAGGCACCGAGGGCTCCAGGGCTTCGGGCTGGTCCCCGCCCTGGGATCCGCCGCACTGCGTGACACTGGTTGGAAAGCGTCTTTCTCACTCACGGGTGCACTTCACTCATTTCCTTAACGTAAACCACAGAAATGATTCTTTCGAGTATGTCATTAAAGGCCAATTGTGAATTTATTGCTGTTGCTATTGACAGCATTCACTGTGCTCATGGTGCCAGCGTGCTGTGTAATTTCATCCCCACCGTGGATTCCAGTGGGGGAAGAAGCTGGATTGTGAGTGGCCTGAGGTGTTTCCGTGTCACATGGACCTAGCGGGCTGCAAAGTGTGGCTCGGCGAACTATAACCCTGGCGTGTCTTGTCTCTCTGTCCACTAGACTTCACGAGGAGATCATTGACTTTTATAACTTCATGTCCCCTCGTCCTGAGGAAGCAGCCATGAGAAGAGAGGTGGTGCAGCGGATCGAGACTGTGGTGAAGGACCTGTGGCCCACGGCGGACGTGAGTCTCTGCTGTGTCCCGTGCTGCCTGCCGGGTCTGTCGTCCGCCCCTGGGCCCTGCTCCGCCCACCCCACCCCCACTGTCCCTGCCAGGTGCCCCAGCCTGGAGTGAATACCCGAATACCCATCACCACCGCTGTACCTGCCTCAGGCCTGGACAGACAGGACCGACCGGCAGACCAGGCCTGAGGTGTGATTAGTCTTGTTTGAAACCCAGCGTGATGTCCTCCAGCCCCCTGCCCTGAGCGTTGGTCCTGTGGGTTCGTGGGCATTTGGCACGCATCCTTCGGGCAGCAGCAGCCATGCTGTGTGCCAGAAGCAGCCTCCCCTTCCCTGCCCAGGAGCCGCCTGAGCGAGTGCCAGCTGCTGGGGGCTCATCCAGCCGCTCCTGCTGAGGGGCACTGTGCTGCCCCTGGGGGAGGTAGCACCCACCTTCCCGTCCTCCTTACACTTCAGGACCCAGGACAGGCCTGCGCCACTGTGGCTGTGTCTAAGAAAGTATTGGAAGGTTTGAAACTGGCTCTGAGAAACACGCAGAGTTGAGCCAGTTCGGGGTGAAGACAGTAATGGTGTTGCCTCTGAGCGAGTTCTAAACGCTTTTCTGTGGGGCCAGTTTCCAGAGATAAAGGGAGTCTTCTCATTGTTCCACCTGTCCTCACTGTCCTCACTCACCTGCCCAACTTCCAGGTGGTCTTCCTGTTACCCAGGGTACAGCGAGGCGTGGGTGGGGAGGGTCATGGGACTGTGTGCGGGAACTGTGGCCGTGTTCTAAGACAGTGTGCTTTCTTCCAGGTGCAGATATTTGGCAGCTTTAGCACAGGTCTCTATCTTCCAACCAGGTGAGTGCTGGTCACTGCGCAGGGCATGCTCGCCTACCAGCGTGAACCCTGGGTCTGCGTGCGTACCCACACCTGCAAGCACGTGCTTTGTAATCAGGTCTGAGGTTGCAGAGGCCCGCTAAGGAGAAGGTTGGGAGCACAGGGGAATTTGGCAGGAAGTAAGTTTTAATTTAGTACTGTGGAAGTAATTTGATTGCCTTACAGTTTTCCTCTTGCTCTCACTTTGTTGGGGCACAGAAATGCTGGACACTAGAAAGAGAGGACAAATGAAAAGAGTATCTTAGTCCACATCCTGCTGGCGTAGTAAAATACTGCAGCCTGGGTAAATTGTGGACACCAGAAGCTTATTGAGGCTGTGAGGTTTAAGACTGGGGGCCACGCGAAGAGTCCAGTGACGCCTGGCCTTCCTGGCGTGCCCTGCCATAGCAGGAGAGAGGGAACTCGCCCACTCCTGGGGTCATGGCCTTGAGCCCGCATGAGGCAGGGCCCCTCAGCCCGTGGCCTTGCCAGTCATCTTTACGTGTGCACCTGGAGGGCCCCGGCCGCCCCAGGGGCTGTGACAGCAGGTGCCATGGAGAATGTTCTGCTCATGTTGTGGTATTTTTGAAAATCTGATTTTACAAAGTTTTAACAAAGACACAAGAAAATTCTGTTTAAATAGTAGGTTTTTATTTTTGGTACCTGGGATCAAACTCAGGACCTTGTGCTTATAAAGGCAGGTGCGGTGCCACTGAGCTAAATCCCCAGCCCTGAAATAGTACGTTTTTCAGAATTCTTATATGATAGAAAAATATCCAGTTTGTAGTCTAAAATTATTTCCCAGCGTTTTCTCACGAAGGACACTGAATATCCACATGCATGTCCTGAGAATCACTTCATCCAGGCTTCTGCTGACCCGCCCGCTGCCTGTAGCCTTGGGAGGGTTTGGGGTGTGGTCGGGTGGCAGGGACAGCAGGGCCCTGGGCAGACTGAGTGGGAGTGGGAGCGGCAGTGCTGAGTGCAGGCCAGGCCCGGAGCCAGCCAGGCTTGGCTTGTAGGGTGGCGTTTTCATGTGAGACCGCACCTCTCCAGGGCTGTTGGGAACTCTTGCTGGGGTTCTGTGCAGCTCCGCACGGTCGATCCACACGCTGCACACACCTCCTGCAGTGCTGTGGCCTGCCTGCCCATGCCTGCCTGGCGCCGGTCCCTCCCCGCAGCGCACCACATGGAGACAAGCAGTGGCTCACCTGCTCCCTCTTCCTGTCCAGTGACATAGACCTGGTGGTCTTTGGAGAGTGGGAGCGCCCCCCTCTGCAGCTGTTGGAGCAAGCCCTGCGGAAGCACAGTGTGGCAGAGCCGTGTTCCATCAAAGTCCTCGACAAAGCCACAGTGAGTGTCACTCGCCCCTGCCAGCGCAGCCAGGCTCTGCTTTGCCTCAGCCACCGGCTGCCGCTGCTGTAAATGTGCTCATTATGTCTCAGGACCCCCAGCACATTGGTGACAGACGGGGGCTGGGGTTCCTGGCTCTTCCTGTGAGGTGGTGTCCACCTGTGCAAATGACTGAGGTCGGGGGGGACACTGACGGGGACCCAAGCATCTGGTGTCGCCCACTTGAGTGTGTGGCTCGGTGGCCACCCAGGGCATTGAGGTGTGACAGGAGGAGACTCCCATTCGCTAGGTTATGCTCTTACCGTCCTTCCGCTGCACGATGCTGAGTCCTCCCTGCCGTCCTTGCTGGCACACGTGGCTCAGGGAGCTGCTGTCTCTGGCCCTGTCATCTTACGCCGTTCCTGTCTGAAACAAGTCAATAAAATAAGGCTTCTGGACAGCAGAGAAGTGGGCAGGGATTGCTGCAGGTCTCCCCATTTAGACACAGAGCTCGAGAGATGCCTGATCGCCTGAGTTCCAGAACCTCCTGCAGCCCCGCAGCACCCTGGTCCCAGGGGCGCCCTGCTATGGGTTGGGTCCTCTCCTCTGTCGTCTGCGTGCCTTTCTCAGCTGCTCCACTGTGAGGAGCAGCCACCCGAAACCAAGCCCTGCAGTGTCACTGCCCGTTTCCACAGTTTGAGTGTGTGCATTCCACTGAGCAGAAGTCGGGGGACCTTTACCAGGCATGCGCGGTGGCAGGTCTGCTGCCCGGTCCCTCCTGCTGGATGCCCATTCCCTTCTGTCCAGCAGAGTGGCCTGCAGGTGGGCGGAGCAAGCACACTGCTGTGTGAGGCCTGGCGCGGCAGGTCCTGCCACAGTAACTCCACGAAAAGCCCTCTGTAAATCTGCGCCCCTCCTGGAACTAGGACAGTACCTACCCTAAAGTCTCCGTACAACCAACTCTGGACACGTTTTGATACCTGACTCTGAAGGCTTTTGCATATTGAAGTAGATTTTTAAATGAAATCTTTATAGGTGCCGATAATCAAGCTCACAGACCAGGAGACTGAAGTTAAAGTGGACATCAGCTTTAACATGGAGACTGGTGTCCGGGCAGCAGAGTTCATCAAAAATTACATGAAGGTACTGTGGTACATGCTGGCCTCACGCAGCAGGGCGTGAACGCTGGCCCTGGTGTCCTTTAAAGGAGCGTGGAGAACCTCTGGCCTGAGTGTGGAAGCCGCTCATGACCCGGACCACCCACGTGCGTTTGTCCTCTGGGGTAGTTTCTGCAGACAGTGGGAAGAACTTCGCTGGGGCTCAGATTTGCTGGGTCTGATCAGCCTTTTCCTGAGGCGGAGCCTCACTGCGGAGCTTTGTGAAACCCTCTTGGTTGTTTCAGGGCGACTGTGCCCAGCTCCGTGTGCTCCACGCCAAGTCCTGTGGGAGCCCCAGGGAGGCGGGGCCAGCACGATGTAGCTCAGATCAGTCCCTTTGCAGACCTTGGGCCCTGTGGTGTGACAGACGTGGTGCCTGCGCTGATGTATTTGGGCTCCGGCTAAGGGCGCGGGCTGCCCAAGCAGGCGGTCATCCCTCTGGGTCACCTAGCGGGACCTGGCCCTGTCTCTCCCACCTGTGCAGGGCCTGCCCTTGGCTCCTCTTCCTTCTACATCCTCATCTGGGCTGGGTGGGGATTTCCATCTCCAGCAGAGCCCAGACGGGGAGGGCCCTGCATGCCCAGCCCCATACACCCGGGTGCTCCCTGCGTGCACAGCCCCCACCCCACCCCCCCCGAGCCACTGCCTGGGATGGGTACCTGGCGGGTTTGCACCAGTGTCTTAGACATGTGTCCTTGGCCCCTTGGAGCTTGACGCTGATTGACCCACAGCCCCGAGGGGGAAGAGGACCAGAGAAACTTTCCTCGGTTCTGGGGTGCTGCCTGACATTTGTTTGAGTATATCCACTAATCAGTGTATCTTTTTCTTTTGGGATTTACAGGAGTACTCATTGCTGCCTTACTTGATTTTAGTATTGAAACAGTTCCTTCTGCAGAGGGATCTGAATGAGGTTTTTACAGGTGGGATTAGCTCATACAGCCTCATCTTAATGGCCATCAGCTTTCTACAGGTATGCGCACCGTCTGTCTCTCGGGGAGGTTTGGAGCGTGGGTGGGAGGGTGGCCTCTCCCAGGTTTCTGGCCAGCTGCTTCCGGGCTGCAGTGAGCCTTGCTGTCCCTTCCTGGCGCCGTTGTGTTGTGGTAGCGCCTGGCTCCTGGATTCTGTCAGGGACCTCTGGGCTGGGCTCCTCTCCTGTTGCTCTTTGCAGCTCATTTCTGTAGCTCACGGTGCTCCCTGGGCCCTGGAAAGCAAGTGATGAGTGAGCCCGAGGAACCCTTACATTGAGAAAGTGTTCATTCCTTTAGGCAAGATAAGCGAGGATTTTGGTTTTGTTTTTTTTGAGGAGGGTGGCCTCTTATCTGATTTATCCTGAAAACACTTCAAGGCCGGGTGTGGTGCTTTTTGGTGGGGTCTGTGTAGCTGTTCAGGGCCATGCCATACCCCACGCCTGACCTGGGCCTGGGGCAGCAAGTGAGGGTTTGTTGCAGCTCCCGAGGGGTGGAGACTGACCTGTGCTGGGCTGGCTTTCAGTGTTTGCCTTTGACCAGAAGGCGAGAAATAAGGAGAGGGATAGAGGGGAGGCAAAAACCAGAAGGTCCACGATCACTGTGGATTCCACAAGCAAACCCTGGGCAGCCGAAGCTCTGGGCCCTGCCAATGCCCGGCAGGTGACTCGAAGAACTGATATCCCCGCTGGAGCTGGCTCCCAAGTGTGCTCTTCGTGGTGCTGTCAGTCGCTCCTGGCTGGTGGGCTCCGCCCTGCAGCCCACACTGTTGGTTCTCCATCTGGCAGCCCTGCAGGAGGCTGCAGGTTGCGTGTGGGTCGCGGGTGCCAGACGTGTGGTGCGTGTGACTGGCAGCTGCGCCCTAACCGGCTGCTTTGCAGAGCTGCGTGTGGGCAGCGCCAGTCTGCGGTGAGAGCGATAAGCATGAGCGATGAGCGATGGGCATGGAGACGGTGCACTGTGCCGCAGATTCAGTTGGCCCAGGGCCGCCTGAGGAGAGTGCAGGGCTGGTGCTCCTCTGGGAGGCCAGCAGGGTGTGCACACCTGCTCGGTGTGGTGTCTGTTAAAATTCATCCTTTTCCATCCTCTGCGTGTGGTGTGTGGGACTAGTCGGTCTAGTACTGCCACCTACGGGTTATGCTGTAGGATGGCTGCAGTCTCTTCTGCCATGCCCGGCTCTGACGTGTGCAGAGTATGCTTGGCTTACTCAGGGTAGGGCACTTGGCAGGCTGTGGCTGGTGGGATGTCTGCGTTTGTTCAAAGCCACTGTATAGATACCACTTTAAAACTTTAAGGAAACATTGAGATGCTTTGTTTGTTTGGGGCACTCATGGACAGCGGCATCCAACTTCCGTGGTGCCTGCACGCTGCTGGCCACGCTCCCTTGGGCCTGTGGCCTAGCAGGGCTGTCGTGTGTGCTTTCTGTAGCACGGGCCTTGGCTCTGTACCCACCGTGCCTGTGTTGCTTTTACAGTTGCATCCAAGAATTGATGCCCGGAGAGCGGATGAAAACCTTGGAATGCTTCTCGTAGAATTTTTTGAACTGTATGGAAGAAATTTTAATTACTTGAAAACTGGTATTAGAATAAAAGAAGGAGGTGCCTACATTGCCAAAGAAGAGATCATGAAAGCCATGACCAGCGGGTACAGGCCGTCCATGCTGTGCATCGAGGACCCACTGCTGCCTGGTAAGGGCGCTGCCCTGTGCTGGCCGCCGGGCAGAGCCTGTGCCCTTGGGACACTTCCAGAGCTCCTCGCTTAGTTCTCTGCTGAGCTTATTTAATCAAAGAGAAACAAGAGGAAAAGGCTTGTTGGTGTCACGTACTGGCTGTAGAGTGTGTGCTTCCGGTGTGCCAACCCCCGGGTGTGCTCGCTCTGGTTTGTGCTGTGCAGATGCTGGAATCTCCACTGCTGCCTCACACGTGGCTCGGCATCCCTGGTGGCTGCCGCTCCGGTCCCCAGCCCACCCTCCACGCAGGGCCCCGTGAGGCGTCTCTGTGGAGCCGGGCCGGGCTCTGGCCGCTCTCGCGGGTGTAGTTGCCTTGAGTGACACTCAGGGTGCTCGCGGCTCTGCACCTTCGGCGTCAGACTTCTGAAACTCTTGCCAAGCTATGAACCATGTAATGTAAAATCCTGTTTACGTTTCTTTAATGATAGTGGGGTTCGACACAGTTCCACAAAGGATTATTGAGCATCCATGGGCGACACTCTGTTCTTGCTGTTGGTGAGAGAATCAGTGGCGGACAGGGGACAGAGGTGGTGACCAGGAGGTACACGGTCCCCGGCCCCTTTGTGCCCCGTCCCGTGCAGGGGACCTGGTGTGCCCGGCCGGTCTGCACGCTGTCCTCGTGGCTCGGTGCCACGGAGACCTTTCCGGTCACACATGCCATGGTTTTTCCTGAGTTTTGTTTTTCATCCATGTTTGATGTTTTTACTATTCTGCTCCTGTTCCTCAAATTTAATTATTTTGTTTTGTGGTTTTGAGGGGATGAGATGCATTTCCTAACATTTTTTGACAGAAAACACCTGGCTGTTTTGCTATGGTCAATGCCTGGCTTTCCCCATGGGGTGCTGTCACAGCATGTCACCACCTGGGTGTCCGTGTTGGGCCTGTCAAACCAGGGTGCCCCTTGTCCCGGGAACACTGATCTGCCTTGTCACTGGGCTCTACTGAATCTGGAGAGATAAAGTTCCAGCTCTTAGAATGTGCGTCCATAAAGTCTCCACCTACCCTGAGCTGTGAGGGACGCATGGTGTACACACGCAGTTTGGTGCTCTGCCTTCCTGTAAAAATCAAACTCCAGACTGGCTTATGGTGGCTTCAGTGAGCTTCCCATGGTTTGCTGCTTGTCCAGGACCAGAGCTCACAGCAGGGCCCTCTTCCCCAGAACTCCCCCAGCAGAATGCACAGGGTGACTTCCCTGGAGTGGGGATGGGTCTCGAGTGGGGCACCAGTGGGGCACTCACATGCAGTGTCCACATGTGCCTTGCTGGTGCGCTCTGGAGGTGTCGGGTGAGGGCCTGGTTCACAGTAGCTGAGTGATGAGGCTGGAAACAGCTGCACAATGGCTACAGTCTTCGTCAGCATTTGACAGCTGCCTTTCCCTCGCAGGAAATGATGTTGGCCGGAGCTCCTATGGGGCCATGCAGGTGAAGCAGGTGTTTGACTATGCCTACATTGTCCTCAGCCACGCTGTGTCGCCTCTGGCCAGGTCCTACCCCAACAGAGACTCAGAAAGGTAACCGAGGGCCGTCCTTGCTCTGGGCTGCAGCACCTGCCCGGTCCACGCGCTTCTGTGAAGGTCCCTAGCCAACAGGTGCACTGCCAAGTTTCGGCCGAACTTGCAGGTGTTGACAAGGAAATCATCTCTTCGGGGCCTCTTGTCTGGGGAGGTGCACCTGGCTTTGAATGCTTTCTGATGCCACCGTCCCTCCAGGCCTTCTGCACATAGGCTTGGCACCGTCTGCAGCCAGGATTGCCCTTCTTCTCTTGTGCAGACCTGTGCTCTGCAGTTGGAGCCTTTCTGCAGTGCGCTGTTACTGGGGTCCGGGATCCTCACTCTGAGCCAGTGTGCTGCTTGGCACTGGCGAAGGAGGGCGGGAGGAGGTGGGAGTGGCCAGGAAGGAGAGGGGAAGGTGGCTGTGCAGACCAGGAGTGGATGGCGCCTTGAGGACAGTCGTTTCTGTCCCTGGCTTGCACGATGGAGTAAACCAATCTTGAGGCCTGCTTCAGGAGCCCCGGTCCAGGCTCACGGTGGCAGAGATGTTTTTGCAGTGGAGCCCCGGGCCCCACAGGGCAGTAGGTGCCATCCCCCATGCTCAGCTGTGCTGTGGAAGGTGGAGGTGTCCAGCTGCAGTGCCTGTGGGTGGGAGGCCGGGCCATGGACTGGCTCTGAGCAGTCTTGTGTAGACACATTTGTACTAAGAGAGTCCATTTTTCTTACACTGTGATCTCAGACTACGTTTGAGCTCAGAATCAGAAGGCACAAAGACTTTGTGAGGCTGTGCTGGCTCATTTCCCCCTCCTCTGGCTGGGCAGGAGGCCCTGCTGTTACCAGGGGAAAGAGGTTCTCCACGGGAGTCTCGGCTCCCCCAGTGCTGCTCCACTGCTGACGCCCGGCGTTTCCCTTGCAGTACTTTAGGGAGAATCATCAAGGTAACTCAGGAAGTGATCGACTACCGGAGGTGGATCAAAGAGAAGTGGGGCAGCAGAGTCCACCCGCTGCCAGACCTGGGTGAGAGCCCCTCCTCCCGTACCGTCACCATTGGTGGCCCACGAAGGCCTGGAGCGCCTCCTTGACCCCCCGGGAGGGTGTGCAAAATGGGGGTGTTGCTAGCTCCCCCTGGTAAGCACTTGATTAGGGGCTGTGAGTCCCAGGCCAGCACTGTCAGCAGAAGTACTGCTTTGCTGTGTGGGGTTTTAGGGGTGCAGGGGCTGCATTAGGAGTCTGAGACGCAACAGGTGACATGCGCTGTAGGACTGTATTTTACCCAACCCAGTCTAGAGAGTTAACACTTCCTGGTTTTGGACTAAGTCTGGAAATGCACTGTGTGTTTAGGTTTATAGCACGTCCTAGTTGGGGTGCTCAGTGCTCCTCAGAAATAACGTGGTCTGTGTTTGGGCTTCGTGGAAACTGTAGTGGGAGGTGATTTACATAGCTGTGAAGTTACGAGTGGATTCGAATTGAACATAGCTTTTAAAATTAATTTATTGCTGAGCCTGCCTGCCTTGCCAGCAGCATTTCAGGGCTCAGCTGTGCCCAGGAGCTGGCAGCCCTGTCAGAGCGGGACATGCGCACTTGCTCGGTGACCTGCGCCTTCTTCTCCCCCAAAGACAACAGGATCAAGATGAAAGAGCGACTCTCCATGTGCAACGGGGAGCAGACGCCGGGCCGGGAGCCCAGGTCACCCTACAGCCCACGCCTGGCCTTGTCCCTGTGCAGTCCGCAGCCCCTCTCTTCCGGCTCCTCTGCTTCCTCTGTGTCCTCCCTGTCCGGAAGTGACGTCGTGAGTGAGCCCTGCTTCTCTGCGTCCTCCCCCACGGTTGGGTTGTGTTCGGTGGACGGCCACGGCAGAGTTGGGCAGCAGTCGCTGTGTTTGGGCCCGGTGTCCTCTGCACAGGCCCGAGAACCCCAGCGTCAGGGCCCCTGGGAGCCCGTGGCTGTCTGGAAGAGCTTTTAAAACCTGTTCTGAAATGAAAACGTTCAGTGGAGGGCTCTCGGGATGTCCTTTGCCATAATCGCCCTCAGTGCTGCCTGCCGAGAAGGAAGTGTAGCTAGTGTGAGCTGCCTGCTGTTTAGCAGTGGCCCTGTGTGCTGTGTGGCTTTCTCATGCCATGGGCAGCAGGGCCCCGGTGCCGAGCTTGTTTCTGTGCTGGATTCCAGGACTCAGACACCCCGCCCTGCACCACGCCCAGCGTCTACCAGTTCAGCTTGCAGGCGCCCGCGGCGCTCGTGGGCAGCTTGCCCGCTGCCCTGCCCATGCCCAGCGCCAAGCCTCAGGCCACTCCCTCCCGGACGCTGATCATGACGCCCAACAACCAGGTATGTTCCAGCGGTCGCGTCCCAGCTGCAGGGTGCCGGAGGAGATTGGCCTGATTTTGATTTAAAGGAAGAACTGTTTGAACCTTTGAGAGGTTTACATTTCTGTTTTATTGTAGAAATTCTCTGTCTCTCTGTCTCTTGTGTGGATGCGGTGTAATTCCCATCGTTCTAACAGCATGGTTGATGACTCTGCTGACAGCCAGGTCATGGTGTCCGGTGGTAGCCGCGAGGTGACCCTTGCTTCCTGAGGAGCGAAGTACCCTTGGCGGGAGTCTGACCTGGGCCAGCGCGAGGCCAGCCTGAGCCCGCAGCCTGCTCCTCGCAGGGGAAGGGGCCTGTCCTGGCCACCTGCACACCTGTCCCCGCCTCGTCCATGTCATCACTGAGGCATTGATGGGGGACTTGGTTAGAATATGCTGTGGTTTTAAAATTTAGATAGGAGTAGGAGTCCAAGAGAGAGTTTTGTAAGTTCGATTTTGTATCTACGTCCCCGTTATACACCGGTTGAATACGTATAGAGCCAGCACTGCCATTTACTTAAAGGAAAGTAAAACCAGTTTTTGAGAGGGGCTTTCTATTTTGTATTTAAGTTGACGCAGATGCAGCAGCCGAGTTTCTTGGGGTGCGCGGGGCTGCAGCCGTGGCGGCCCCATAGGCTTTGTGGCCGTTTTCCTCCGTGACCCTGGCTGCAACCTCTGGCCCAGGGAGAGGTGTTGAACCCGAAGGCCTCAAGCCTCTGGCCCAGGGCAGGCCCCGCCTTCGTCTAGGCCGCTGCCGTGGGCGTTGAGGGTCACAGGTGGCAGGGCTGACGGCGCTGAAGGAAAGGCCGTGTGTGGCTCAGGTTGTCACTGTCACTCACGAGTCCCTGGCGGGCCAACTCCGTGGGAAGGCCGCTGAGTTGTTCAGACAGGGCCAGCGGAGAGTGAGGCGAAATCCCGGGGAAGACCGGCCTTCTGCCAGGCCCCGTGTGGCCCGATGGCCGCGCCCCGGGGTTGAGGTCCGGGGTGGTTGGCGGTCCGCAGAGAGCCAGCCGCTCCAGGGCGCTGCTCCCCCGGCGGCACCCTGTGTCGGGGAGGGAGAGCGGCCCTGCGAGGAGCCCCTGCGAGGATCGGCCGTGGGAGGGCGGGTCCTCACGCGCTGCCCCCGCCCCCCGGCTCTGTTTGCTCCTAGACCAGGTTCGCCATGCCCGCTCCGACCCTCGGGGTGGCGCCTGTCCCTTGCAGGCAGGCTGGCGTGGAAAGGACTGCGTCCTCGAAAGCTGGGCACCACATGCCCGCCCCGGCCGTGCCCGCAGCGCCCCCCAACCCGCTGTGCAGCCCTCACCTGTACCACAAGGTGCGTGCGCCCTCCCCGCCGAGCACGCGCCGCCATGGCCGGAACAGCGCTTCACAGTACGAAAAGCCTTAAGGAAGGGGGAAATAGTTTCCCTAGTCACCCTAGGCTACTCGTAGTTCTTTTGTTGAACTGGTTAGCATAAAAATGAAATTTGAAATAGGCAAAGGTGAAAATTTCGTTTCTGTATTTGTTAAGTTCCTTTAATTGGTTTCCTGCCAAGTAATGTGGTTTTCAGGAAGCAATAGGTGGACCGTGAATCAGTCTTGCTGCCCCTCCGTGGGAAGTGCTGTGCTGCCAGCTGCTGCCCCTGCGCTGGGCCAAGGCGAAGTGGTGGGTGGCGGGCCCTGCCCTGCCTTGGGGTGACGACCCTGCAGGTCTAGGCGGACCTGGAGTGCCTCCCCAGCCCTGGCTTGCCTCTGCCTTGCCTGATGCAGGAGCAGCACGCATGTGTAAGCAGCTTGCTGTCGAGTCCCATGCTCGAGACGTCTGTGAGTGTGTGTGTGTCCCTGTCCCTGTCCCTGTCCCTGCAGCAGGGCTCCATGCAGGCCCCTGCCCCAGGCTGCATGGCACTGGGCGTGTCCGGCAGCGGAATGTTGCTTCCCCACCAGTCGAATCCTGCTTGGCAGAGTTTGTTCTTGGAGGTTGGCTCTCAGGCCCTTTGGAAGCCAGCGGTAGAGCTCCCCTTGTTCCTGGGGAGGCCGCAGCTCTGCACTCCCTCTGGCTCTCCTCTTCGGGGAGCGGGGGGTGGTAGTGGTTCCCCTTGCTCTGCCTGGCAGTGCAGGAGCGCGGGGAAGCAGCCCGAGGGCAGGCTGGGAGGCGGCGGGAGAGCGAGGCCGCGCTGGCCCTCGTGTGTCCAGCTCGAGGTGGGCAGGGTGGCGAGGGTGAGGGCGGCCTTCCCAAGGACCCGCAGAACAAGCTGCAGAGCTGGGGTCTGGGGCCAGGGTCCCGCCTGGCGCCATGCTGTTGGTCCTGGGAGACGCGGCTGGGCTGGACTGCGAGTCAGTGCTGTGCGCTCTTGCTCTCTGGCCTCTGGCCTTTCCCCCGGAGATGGGGAGAGGGTGCAGCTTGCAGCTGCCTGCGCCCTCGCGGGGACCCAGACCCAGCTGGGCAGTGTCGCTCCCTCCTGGGCCGGGCTGCGTGCTGTGCCCAGCGCCCTCTCCTCTCTCTCTGTCTCTGCAGCAGCACAACGGCATGAAGCTGTCCATGAAAGGTTCGCATGGCCACGCCCAGGGAGGTGGCTACGGCTCGGTGGGCAGCGGCGGCGTGCGGCCCCCCATGGGCAACCGGGGCCACCACCAGTACAACCGCACCGGCTGGCGGAGGAAAAAGCACACACACACGAGGGACAGCCTGCCAGTGAGTCTGAGCAGATAGTGGCCGGGCCGCACCCGGACTGCCCTGGCCTCGGCGGAGCACCCTCCAGCACCTGAGCCTCGGCCCCGCGCCTGCTGCTCTCTGCGTGGCCGTGGGTGGCGGCCGCTCCTGTGCCGCCTGCAGCCTTAGGCCATGGACGGGCTCTGCCCCCGGAGCCGCTGACAGGAGCTCACCGTACAGTGCGCACAGCAGCCCGGCTGCCTGGCGGGTGGGAGCTTCCATTTCCTGTCATCAGAATGATGCGATCCAGGCTGTCCCCACCCCTCCCGGCTGTAGGGCTGGGGGCCGGCGTGTTACTGCCCTTGCGTTTTGTTTGAGACTTCAGAACTGTTTTTCTATGTAAATATCGAAAACTTATGACTTGTGCAATAATCAGATATTTTTTATTTAATTTCGTATTTTCACATAAGTTATATTTAAGGGAGGAGGAAGTTTTTTTTAAACAAGTTTAGATCCTTTCCCCAGTTGCATTTTCTAGGTTGGGTTCACTGTGTTGGCTGGTGTTGGATAAGCATCATCATGAGCACCGCGACGGGAGGGTTTGGGGTTCATTTGCTGTCTTTTCTTTTGGTCAGAGGCTCTGTGGTTCATCAGGTCTGGGGACTCTGATCCCGCGCCCTGGCCCTGCCCTGGGCTGCGGACCATTGGCTGCCCTGACCATGAGTTCTAACGTTTGGGTTTTGGTTCCTTTAAACTTGACAACAAATCTAGCATTTAAAGTGCCAGAAGTATAATTTTCTAGGGGGAAGAGGTGGTCATGTGAGAAAATCCCGAAAGCAGTGTGGCCCTGGAGTGCCTGCCAGGCTCGTGGCGTGGCCCAGGATGACGGCCTGGGGACACGGCAGACAGTGGCACCCCGGTTGGGAGTGTGGAGAAAGGAAATCCGTTGATTCCGCTGAGGGATCTGCATAGAAGCATGCATTCGTTCTGTTAAGAGCAAATGCCGGAGAAGCATCTCTGCCCGCGGCGCCCTGGCTGTGCTTCCGAGGGTCCCGGAGGGCATGGCCGGCTGCGCAGAGCCTGTGTACAGGTGTGGGGCACAAGTGTGCTCGGCCGCCCTGTCTGCTCTCCCTCCACCTTTTTTTGATCCAGAATACATCCACCCGCCCAGCCTGAGTTTTCCAGCGCTGCGGCTGCACGGGGAGTCGCTGCACCTTGCAGGCCCCTGCCTCCCTGCCTCTCCAGGGCTTCTGGGCCTGCTCCACACTACGGAAGCCCGCCTGAGGGCATGTCCAGACGGGAGGCTCGTCAGCGCCGCCTCTGACCCGTGGGCAGCTGTGGCGAGTCCCAGCCGATGTCTGCGGGCGAGGGACACGGCGGGCGCGAGCTCTGGCACCCAGTCTGCTCCTAGAAGTGAGACCAGCCCTGTGGCCAGCACTGTGGACTTCGCGCGGGCGTGGGACGTCCAGAGCATTGTGGCACAGGTGTCTGCAGTCGCAGCGATTGGAATCACCTGAAATATTTAAAAATATTTAAATTATGAACCTGTTGATAAAGAGTATTTATAAACAGCGATCCGTAGGCACTCACTGATCTGTGCGCGTTAGCAATACTGACTAAACCTACACCAAGGGAACCACCGAGGGCTGGCGGCGCCATAGGCACGAGGTCGGTGCCCGTCGCCCCGTCGCGGTGGACGGATGAATTGGCCTGGCTGCCACGGGGTCGTGCACTGTAGGTTTAACAGAGACCATGTCTAGATTTTTTGGTGTGCAGACAACAATGTGGAAGCTAAAATTGACATATTTTTATGTAAAGTTTTTCTATTCTTTAATTTTTAATAAACTTTGGAAAGTACTTGTGTGTGTGAGTCGAAGCTCTCCTTTCATGGGGAAGGTGGCCTCTGGCTCAGCCGTTCCTGGTCTACCGAGGACTCCCAGAAGCCGGGCGCTGTCCCTAGGAAGCAGGTTTGATGGGTACCGCTGGGTGGTCCCTGGCTCGTCCCACTGCAGGCGGGGGTGCGGACAAGGCCCGCAGTGCTCTCTGCCCCTGGCCTGGCGCTCTGGCTCGGGCATGGGTGGTCCTGTGTGCACCTTCTCACAGACATGCACGTGCCAGGGACCGGGCGTGGGCCAGTGTCGCCGTACTCCACCTGCGGCTGGCGTCTTACCTCCTCAGAAGGCCTTCCCGAGCCGGTGACAGAACTCTGTACGTCGCCCTAGCGTGTCTCCTCCTCAGCCTTCCACCCTCGCGTGTGTAGGGATGAGTGTCGTGGGTAACACTCCCCCTGCCTGTGCGGAGACAGTCGGGACACGGGACACAGCACCCACGCCCACACCCTGCTCGGGGAGGTTTGTTGTGGCCCATGGGTTTCAGAGGGCTCAGTCCATGGTGGGCTGCTCCAGGGCAGAAGCGGCATGGTGGAAGGGTCTCGGGCGGACAGCCGCTCCCCCCAGGGCAGCAGGGTAGCAGAGGGGAGAGGGGCTAGGACGAGAGCACTCTTCCAGGTCACGCCCGGGACCCCTGCAGCCAGGCCCCGGTTCCTAGGTGCAGTCAGCGCTGAAGTCCCCTTCCCCGGCCCAGGAGGCTGTGGGAGGTCTGAACTGTGGAAGACGGCAGGGGCAGGGGCAGGGGCAGGGGCAGGCAGCCAGCAGGCTCCTGAACAGCGAGGACGAGGGCGCGGGGCCCTGCAGATCTGGGAGGAGGTGGGCGGGAGGACGTCAAGGCTGCTTAGGACCCAAGACCGCTGGGTGGGCTGGGCCGGAGCTGGCAGGAGCAGTGGCCCATGGCATCGGCATGGGGCCTGCTCCGGATGCTGGGAGTGCGGCCGGCCATGGCCCCGCTGGGGCAGCGCTGAGGGGCTGTCTTCCTGTCCCACGAGCCTGTGCCTCCTGTTCCCCTTCAGCTGCCAGGCTTCGCTGTGTCCACTTGGCCCTGCAGAAAGATCGCCGCCTCCCCTCAGGCAGGGCCCAGCAGCTCCAAGTGAAATCCTGCTCGGGGTGCCCCGCCTCATCCCCAGTGAGGTGCAGGGATGGCCTCAGGGACAGCCTCATGCTCCCTGCTTGCCCGGAGCTCCCTTCCCTTGGCCCAGGTGGCCCCTGCCCTGGTTTAGAATGTCAGGGGTTGCTCTTAAAGGAGACGCCACCCCAGTGCCGACTGTCACTGCCTGGGGCAGCTCCACATGTGCGACCCTGTCTCTGGCTTTTGGGGGACAGCACCAGAGGACCCTGGTGGCATTGTTCTCCACTCTGCTGCATGGCGGTCTGACAGCAAGACCCGCTGTTGACGTGGGAGCTGCAGGTTGCTGGGCAGCGGGAGCGAGGCACCCAGCATCAGGCTCCTAGGAAAGGAAGGGCACTGGGCTGTCAGGAGGCTGTCCCCAGGGCACCCCGGGCCGTGGGCCAGGACACTGCAGGCTCCCTCCAAGGCTGCTTCTCCAGTGAGCGTAGGGCCTGTGTCCTTACCGGGGTCTCAGTGTCGCTGAGGACAGGTGGCCTCAAGTCCCAGGAGAGCCTTCCTGGGAGGGGGCCTCCATCTCAGGGGTCTCAGATGTGGACCTCAAGCCATTGCCTGGAGGATGCTGGGCCGGGAGAGTCCTTGGGTCAGTGAGATGAGGAAGCAGCTGTGTCGCTGGCCTGTCGCCTCTTGTGGCTGCTGCCAGCTGGCCCTTCTGCCCTGGGCTCCTCCCGCCGCCGTGGCCCCAGCGCATCAGCCCACGGGCCCAGCAGGGGTCCCCATCCCACCCCTGAGTCTCCCCTCCGTCCTGGCTTCCTCCAGCTCTCGGTCTCTCCCTGAGCTCTCTCAGCTGCGCCGCGGGTCCAGTGCTTACCTCTGCCTCCTGAGCCCGAGCAGTGCTGGGCCCAGGAGGCGCCTCCCGCAGACCCACTCTATCTGCTCTACCCGGAAGGGCACCAGCTTTGAGTGGATGCTGATCAACTCGGGTGACTTGAGCCCCATTTCACTGGCTGAGCATCCAAACCTCCTCTTGTGGCCCATCTGCCCTTGTCTTCAGTGCCTGAAAACATCTGCTCCTCTGTGCCCCACAGCCTGAGGCCCGCCCTGCTGGCCACGCCTCCCACCTGGACGCCAGGCCGCCCCAACAGCCGGCAGCCCTGCTCCAACCTGGTCTCCACGGAATGGGCGTCCCTGCCCCTGCCGCTCAGACCCCGGGTGCTCAGTGCCACGTGCTGAGGTTTGTCTCACGCATTTCCATTCCCAGTCACCTCTCAGGGCAGCCGGGCCTCCACCCGTTCCTGCACAGTGAGGGGAATGCAGCATAGCAACCCCAGCTCTGGGGTGGGCTGTGCTGTCCCCTGTCCCTTCCCGGCCCCTGCAGAAGTCCTGGCTGCACAGCGGTCTCAGCACAAGAAGAGAGGGTACTCCTGCCTCAGCTTCACAGACGCTGCCCTGCCAAACCCCTGTGAGCTTGCCAGGTTCCTTCCCTGACTGCTTGGGGGGCCCTTCACCCCCAGGCAGGGGCTTCCTGCAGTAGGCTGCGGTTAGGTCAGTACTCTGGAAGAAACCAGGTAAATACTCAGCCTCCAAATGTCCTGGGGAAGTGAAGCTGCTGCATTTATCTCTATTGAAAATAAATACAGTATCTGTAACTGAAGCAGTGCCTATGGGGACGCGGCCCTGAGGGGACCCTGAGGGCCATTCCCATGTCCCTGGGGTGTCCGGGCCCCCACTCGGGCACGGGTACCCAGATGTACACACCTGCGGTGTGTCGGGCCGTGTCCTGGTGTGGGCGTGGGATTGGCAGCCCTTTCGTCTGAGGTCCCCTGCTGTGCTCTGGGGGCCCCATGCTGTTCCATGGTTCCGGGTGCCTGCGTGGGTCCCAAGGCCCCGGCCACGCTGTGAGAACACCGATGGGGTGAGCGCCTCATGCACAGACACCGAAAGCCTCGCTGGTGGTTAGAAGACGGTTTTATCTTAGCAGTGGACAAAACCCCCAAGTCTCTCCTCCTCTCCCCACTTCCCGCTAATTCCTGCTGTGCTCAGGCCTGGGGCCTGAGGGTCCCGGTAGGCTGAGCTGCCCCTGCCCCTGTCCCTGCCGTTCATGGGCCCAGCCAGGGCGCCCTGGGGACCCTTCCTCCTGCCAGCCAGCCCGGCCACCTGTCCCCGACTGCCCTTGCCTGCCCTTCCCTGTGTGACCAACCCTCCCGTCCGGTGGGGGTGGCCCAGAGCCCCCCGGAACTGTGAAGTGCAGCTTCTTCCACAGAAGCCCTCCGAGTCCGGGACCCCGTGTCTCCAACGCGGTGAGCCATGGCAGCGGAAGCTACCTGACCGGCCGTGTCCAGTTCTTGGTGACTGTCAGGTCTCGCGTCCTACAGGCTTCCGGCCTCACTTCCTCCTACTGCTGAGCCTCCGGGTGGGCCCGAGTAGCCCTGGGACCCTGGGGCTGCACAGCAGCTGTGGGATGAAGGGGAGGAGGGGCCTTTACGGAGGCGTCACTCAAAGAGCCTCGACTGAGGGCCCTCAGGGGCAACATCGCCAGAGCAAGAGGCCATGCCAGCTGGGGCTGTGGGGAACGATTGGGTTGGCCCGGGGTCAGCAGCCCAGGAAGGAGGGGCTGGGCCCTGTGCTGGGGTCTTGGGCAGCAGTGGGTACCGCGTGGAAGGGCCGTGGGAGTGACGCTAGGGGCCCCGGGCTACAGGGTGGCCTCCCGTTGTCTGCTGCCTGGCCCTGGGGTGGCGGGGCAGGGCACAGCGGACTCTCGACAGGTGTGGCGGAGTCTGAGGACATCGGCGCACTGGGGCTCCTTGGGTGGGATGGGGTGCAGCCAGTGACCAGCAGCTCAGGGGCACTGGGGTCCTGGGAAGGTGCCCGGGGCTTCAGGTGTCTTCTACATTGAGCTGTTGTTGGATTGGTTCTAAGCCGACCTCAAGGGCTGAGAGCGGCAGTGCGAGTGCTGGAGGGAGGTGGCTGAAGTGCGATCTGAAGTCGCACAGTGAGGCGGCAGAGAGCCATGTGCTCTGGGGACTTCTCATACCCCGTGGAGAGCACCGCCGGCCGCCCAGCAGGAGGGGTGCAGGCAGCGAGGCTGTGCCTCAGTGGCGCCCTGGGTCAGCCCTGCTCTAGGGGCCCCCGAGCCGCTCAGGTCAGGGGCTCCGGCCTCTGTGTGGTCCTGGCCTTTCTTGGGGTCCTCTCAGCCCCAGATTTGCTAGGTCTCCCCAGCCAGGTGAATCCCTGTGAGCAAGGAGAGCCCTGAATGCCTGCCCAGCCTTGACTGAGCCAGGGGCTGGCCTGCTGGCTCTCGTGACCCCTCCCCAAGCCTCCGAAACATGTGGCAGGTACTGGATTGTCTGGTGCCATCAGCATTTCCCAGTCCTCGTGCACTCTTCTCCCTCTGATGCCCAGCTGGGAAAAGACTGTCGTGGCAGGGGATGCATGGGGGTGCGCACCTGTCATCCCAGCACTCAGGAGGCTAAGGCAGGGGGATTGCCACAAGTTTCAGGCCAGCTTGGCCTACGTAGTGAGTTCAAAACCATCCTGAACTGCATAACTAGACCCTGTCTCAAAAAAAGAAAAAAAAAAAAACAGAAAAGGAAAAAGAGAAAAGGCCTCCTTCTCTATCCTCCTATAAGCAGCGGACTTGGGGTTTGCTTTCTTTGGCAGCAACTCGCTGCGGGACCCTCCTGCTGGGAGGCTAAGCCCGAGGGCCTTGGCCTGGGCAGAGCGGGACGCTGATGTCACAAGCACACTCTGAAAGTGGGTGCTCAGTCCGTGTGCCCCATGCTTGATGCTTGCATTGGGATTTATTGAAGTCCCTGGCTCTGGGTCTGTGAAGGGCCCCAAGTCTGGCCTTCATTTCTGTGATCCCTCACAGGACTCACAGGACTTGGCACGCAGACCTG